TTGTTTATGTATTGTCTATGGTTGATCACACTTCAAGGACAGAGCTAAGTAGCTGTGACAGATAACTTATGGCTGCAGAGCCTAAACTATTTACTCTCTGGCTCCTGTTTTAGAACCTAAATCAGATTGTGTCATTGCTGAAAACCTTCTTTTGACTCTACACGTTACTTGGGATTTAAAAATAAGACATCTTTACCAAATCCAACATAGCCTTTTAAGATCAATGCCTACTCTGCCCTACATTTTAATGTTACTTTTCTCTTCTCGCCCTTCCTTTTATCTCCTCTCCTATACTTATCTGCTCATGTAGGCCTGCCTCCTTCATGACCCCTAAACCTGGCAAACCTTTCTACCTCAGGACCTTTGTACCTGCTATCCCTTCTTCCTGGACATTCTTCCACCAGGTGGCCCCATGTTCTCTTCTTCATTTCCTTCAGGGCTCTCTTTTCCTGTTATCACATCAAGAAGGCTATCTATATAAAACCACATTCCCACCCTACCCCCGGGGATCCCGACTGCCTTTCTCTGCTTTATTTGTCTTCACAGCCCTTCTCCCTCTCTGACTTGTTAGATTTGGCTCTTTATGATCAGTGCGCTCTCACTAGAGCTTAAGCTCCTTGATATCAGCTAATTTGTTTATTGCAATACCCTCAGATCTGGAAAACACAGTAAGTGCCCAAACTTTGAAAACAGAAATCAACTGTTTCAGCTCTAATGCTATTTAAATCTACTTCTGAATGGGTCCAAGTGCTATGGAGCTCTTTCACTTCAGTCTGCTATGGGCAAAGGTGTAAAATTTTAGAATCCTGTAACCCGTATGGTCTTTGCGCCAACATTTCTGCGATGGCCACAGAGTCGCATGAATTCATTCTCTGAATGTTTCTAGCCTTGATTGTGGGCCAATCAGAACAGAGTTTATAGACTGGAATCTAGTAACGTGGTTTGGCCCACAAGGCCCTTCATCGTGTGGTCACTGACATCCTCTCTGTCTTTACCTCCTACCATTTATATCTCTCTCTCACACACACCCCTCCCTCACCAACCGCCTCGTCCTCCATTTTCACAGGTGGAGTTCATTCTTCTGGAAACACCCTTTCTCTATCTTTGGTCGTATGTTCTCATCAAGACTGAGCTTGGGGGCGTCTGGGTGACTCAGTCGGTTGAGCGTCCGACTTTGGCTCAGGTCATGATCTTGCGGTTTGTGGGTTCAAACCCTGCGTTGGGCTCTGTGCTGACAGCTCAGAGCCTGGAGCCTGCTTCAGTTTCTGTGTCTCCCTCTCTCTCTGCCCTTCACCCTCTCATGCTCTGTCTCTCTCTCCTTCAAAAATAAATAAACATTAAAAAATTGAAAAAAAATAGACTGGGCTTGTACAGGAGAATTCGTTGACCGCCCCCACTCCGGCCCCAGCCCTTTGTACAGGTTGGGTCAGGGACCCTTTCTCTGACTAAAGTTACTGTTGCCAATAGCACAGCATAGTTACGTAGCTTTCGTAAACAGGCACTTTTGTCCACTAAGATGGAAGAATTCCTTAGGGTCAGGAACCCTGTGACGCTAAACAGGCCGTGCCTAGCACAGAGGCAGTGCCTCGTAATCATACCCCAGCTGTTGACCTCTTCCCACATTCCTGGCTGTGTCCTACCGGGTCACATGCCTCCCCCCACTTAGGCCTTGTGTCCACCCTGTGAGGAAGGAGCTAGGTACTCAGCATTAGCTTCTTCCCTAATTTTTTCAAGGAAGCAACCAAGATGGCAGGCCCTGGGTGGGTAGCTGGTGGGCATCAGAAAGATGTAGAGGCCGTGGGAAAAAGGGAAGGGAGGAAGAAAGGGAGGGAGGAAGGAAGAAAGGGAGGGAGGGAGAGAGGGAAGGAAGAAGGAGGGAAGGAAGGAAGGAAGGTTGGAAAGGAGGGAGAAAGGAAGGAAGGGAGGAAGGGAGAGAAGGAATTGAGTCATGGGCTTGTAAGTTGATGGTGGGGTTGGCATTATTCCTGCGTATCAATACTAGTTCTATGGTTTTCACATTTTACTTCTCAGTATCTATATTAAAAGACTGCTCTAAGAATCGGGATACCAATTTGCCACTCCCAGCCCTACCACTAACTAGCTGTGTGGCTTTTGATACATTAGTCAACCTCTCTGTATGTCAAGACAAGTTAGCTTTGAGGAATGTAGCCATATCCACATGAGAAAAAAATCAGTAGTCTATGGTCATAAGTTATTATAAATCAAAGTGATTATATATGTACATATTTGTGTAGGTACATAGATATTTGTTTACTGAAGTAGGACTATGTTTCTATGCATATATATAACTTCATAATTACATGTGTATATATAATTTGATACATTTCAGGGGAACCCTCATGAAGAACGACTCTTTTCCTTAGAAATATCTGATGATCCTCAGTCGCCTTTTGTTGGTCATCTCTTGCTGAGTAGCACATTCCCTCCATAACTTAGTGATTGAATACAACAGTATTTATTACGTCAGTTTCTGTGGGCGGGGCACCTGGGCGTGGCTTGGCTGGATGCCTTTGCTGCCTCCCACCTGTGCTTAGTGGGCTTGAGGCTCAGCTGGGGAAGGTCTGCTTCCAGGTTCACCTGTGTGGTTGCTGTTAGGATCCAGGTCCCTCCGAGGCCCCTGTCCCTCAGAAGCTGCTGGCCAGAGGCTTCGCTGGGCTCCTGACCGTTTGGATCTCACACCATGGCGGAGAGAGATGGACACACACACACAGGGCAGGCAAAACAGAAGTCGAAATCTTTTGTGAACTACTCCTGGAAGTAACGTTCCATCACTTCCACATTCATTAGAAACACGTGGCTGGGTCCCTTCCTGCCCACACTCGAGGGAAAGGGATTGAGTACAGTGGGGTGTGAACACCACAGCGTGGGGGGCATGGGAGTCACGTCACAAGCTACCCACCACACCTATGAAATCCTCCTCCGCTGGCTCCCAAACACCCCCCACTCTGCTCCTGCCCTTCCTTCCATGGGGGCAGTTGTTCTTTATTAAAATTTTTTAAATGTTTTTATTTATTTTTGAGACAGAGAGAGACAGAGCATGAGCGGGGGAGGGGCAGAGAGAGAGGGAGGCACAGAATCGGAAGCAGGCTCCAGGCTCCGAGCTGTCAGCACAGAGCCCGACGCGGGGCTCGAACTCACAGACCGCGAGATCATGACCTGAGCTGAAGTCGGACGCCCAACCGACTGAGCCACCCAGGTGCCCCGGGACAGTTGCTCTTAACCACATTTCCGCCTATCTAAGCCCATGTGGACTTTGAAACTGTGCTTCAGATGTGACCTCCTCTCTGAAGCTTCCCTAGAGACCTGAGAAATCTGTCCTCTTCTGTGTCCTGTAGTTCTTGACTTACAACAAACTGGAAAGTTCTCATCTTCCCTGCCTGACCCTGAGCTTCTTAAGGACATGGGACTGTGGTGTGTCGATCCCCCTCCTGGAGACATCATACTTTTCACTTAGTAGGTGCCCTGCGAGGGTTCACTGAGTGCAGCTGATTAACTTAATAAGTACTTTGAGCTGACTTTATTTAGAATTTGAACGGTGTCACGAATTGTGAGCAGAGATTCTATAAGCAGGCGTGAACCCTAAGCTCTGAAGTTTGGAAATGTATTCCAACTTGAAAGCATTTTTTTTCAGACCCACATTCCTCTGCTTCAGGGGTCAGACTCCACCGCTGAATTACAAGGGGGTATTCTGGGGTGATCCCCCCCGCCCCCGTTCGGCTTCTCCTTGCTTCGTACCCCTTCCTTCATTCATCTCTCCCATCTTGTGGCAGGAAAGAGAGACCTTTTCATTAAACTCTGGTCCCCATCATTTATCCAGGCTGACCTTACCATCCTCTTGGCTGGTCTGTTTTTCTCAAGGGTCTAGGAGCTTGTAATTCAGGAAGACCTGGTGGTTCCAGAAGGAGCTTCATCTTTGGGAGGAACAGAGATCATTATTGAAGCAAAACCAACCTGAACCAAGGCCCTTCAACGTTCTACTTGTATTCCGTTTGCATGCTTCTTGTTCCCCGTCCGTGAACCTTTAACGATTTTCATATCTGGGGATTTGTGAGAAAATACAGTTCTAAAACTGTCTTCCACGTTGGATTAGTACCTGGCAGTTTCCAAAGGTATTTTTCACACCCGGTGTTTCGTGTAATCTGTACGCCAGCAATAAGAAGTAGATAATGTTAATTGGATTTTATAGATAAGAAAGTGCAAGTACAGAGAGGTGGTCCAAGATGACACTTGGTCCAAGATGACACCACGTAGTCTGCAAGAGGCAGAGTGAGATCCTGAGCAAGACTCCCGGGTAGAAGCCTCTTCAGTGTTGATCTCCTCATCATTAGTGAAGGGAAGAGTGGAAATTCTCCCACATGGTCTTCGAAATACAGCTTTGTTTCTTGCACACAGTTCCTGCTCCCTGAGTGCATGTGAAAAGCGTGAATCAAACTGAAATCTGGGCTGATTATTGGATTCTGGAACCATCTTAGAGCAGGTCTCAAGTTGCCTTGTGCTCTAGATCTTGCCCCTTGTTAAAGAGCCTTCTTTTCCTCCCGCTCTTCCTCCCTGCCTTCCCTCCATCGACTCATTTGTTTATTCAGATGGCCGGCATTCTTAGGAATCCTACCATGCAACAGGCACCATGTACCTAAGAAAGTTCCATCTCTGTGGCGTGGTCCACAGTCTAGCAAGAAAGTTGGAGAAGCAGCTAGGCAACAATGATTCTTGTGTCCTGATGCTCTGTAAGCAACATGAGAACGCGGCCTTGTCTGTCTGGCCTACTACAGTATTCTGGTGGTGAGAACAGTGCTCAGTAAATATTTGTTGGCTGAAGAGAATCGAGGGCTCCCGATCTAAGTATGATTTGACAAACATTAAAAATAATTGCCGTCCCTCTCTCACCCAAGGAGAGACGCGTGGATGGGATGGTTGGGTAGACTTGGCCTTGGGGGGCAGAGGCGGTAAATTGAGGCTTCTTGCTCGTCTCTCTTGCCCAGGGAGTTTGCCCGTTGGAAGGTGAGGAACACAGCCATCGAGAGGAGAGACCTGGTCCGTCATCCAGTGCCCCTCATGCCAGAGTTTCAAAGAAGCATCCGCCTGCTTGGCAGAAGACCCACCACTCAGCAGTTCATCGATACCATCATCAAAAAGTACGGCACCCACCTCCTCATCTCTGCCACCTTGGGAGGTAGGTTGGCAGCCCCTGGGCCATGGCCTTGTTCGTGCCTTGGGGGTCTGGATTGGAGGGGAGGTTGGGATGCCCTGGGATCCAAGCCACGCTAACATCTCTGCCGCTGTACGTCACTCAAAAGCATATAAGCCACATTGACTTGGTTGCTCTGATCATTTCAGAACCCTGGGTTCCATTCCCCGGGACAGTCAGACTTGAGTTTACTAACTTTTGTAGAAATACTAACTTTTGTGGCTTCACCTTGGAATCAGCTCTATTCTTCAGGGATGCTTAATCTGACTGTGGCATTCGTTCCTTTGGAACGTGGTCTAATCTGGGGAAATAATTAAGCTTCAGGTGTTGTTCAGAGAGTTGCCTTTGTTTATGTAAGTCTGCTTTAGGGACTGATAACTTGAGGTTATCCTTTTACAAATAGGGTATTATTTGTACGTTTTATGGGCTTGGAGGAGGTTAATAGGAAAGCTGACCAATTGCTTCACGCGGCTTTGCCTTACCTCTCCATCCCCATCAAGTCCAACCCTTAAGAGAGGAGGAGAGAACAGAGGAAATACATTTTTTTAAAGAGGGGGATAGGTAGAGACTAGTGTATTTTGATGCTTATGGTTCTTGCCCACTTGCATCATTTTATATTATGAGCTAAATCTCCTCGCACATCAGTTTTCTGCCATAATGACGAGGGTCACTAAATTTTGAGAAAGCCTCTTTGGTGGGGGAACGCCATGCCTCCTGCTCAGGGAGCTGAGAGGTTGCCTTTAGATGTGACCCTTGCCCGCTAAACGTGAATGGTGTGTTGATGGAGGCGGGGTGGGTGGACTGAGGTATAATTAGAACATTCGATCTTCTCCTTCGGAGGAAGGGGGAGCACCAGGAGCTGAAGTGGCGGGGACAGACTCCATGGGAGAAGGAGCCATGTAGCTGGCAGGAGCTGGCGAGGCACAGGGGAGGTGGCAGGTGATTTCTAGGCCGAGCGCACAGTATGCATTGTGAGGAAGCCCAGATTAGGAACTTGGTGATCACGGGGGTGTGAGGGGAGGTTGGGCAACTTCATTCATCCTTACAGTGAGAGGAGCCATTGTGTATTATCTGCCCATAGTAGGCATCGTACATCGCCATTAGTCCCCCAAATCTGCAAGCTAAGTCCAATGAGCTCCATTTTCTACATAAGGAAGCTAAGAGGCAGAAGGGGTGTGGCTAGTAAGTGACACGCTAAGGGTTTTTTGTTTGTTCATTTGTTTGTGTTTTCTGTTTATTTAAACTAAAAACAAAACAAAACACAGTTCACAGTTTACCCTACGTTTTTAACTTTGGGCTTTCTGTCCACAAAGCCTGCATGTGTGTGTGTGTGTGTGTGTGTGTGTGTATACACACATATATATATATATATATATATATATTGACTCAACATCAGTTGAGTCCAATCCAGACCCCCTCTTTAACCAACTCATTCACCTCCCCAATCCACCCACTCCAAAACCTACCAACCAGCATGGATCCGTTGATGCTACTCAAATACTAAGTAGGACTTTGAATGTTAAATCATGTAGTATAAATTGTATTTTATTGTGAAGTGAGAGCGAAATCACTTCTACACTGAATGTTTCATTAAGCTACACCCCTTTTCCTTGACTTTCTCCACCTCCCATTTTACTTGAATAAATATATATATTTCAACCTATTCTGTTCTTTAATTAGAAGCTGTGTTCTGTCCGAGTCCCTGGAAATCCCCAATAACAAAGACGTTTCTTTTGCTGTGAAATATATTTTTAATTTCTCCAAGGCGGAGTCGTGAATTATTCACGGAGCCTTGTCCCTCTTCTGTTTTTACCAGCACAACATTTTAAAATATGCAAAGCTTTGGATTGAGTTCTAGCGTTGGACAGCGGGCCCTAACCGTGCCCTCGGTCCTCACCGCGGAGGAGCAGGGAGCGGGAAGGGGAAAAGATTTACTGTCGGTTGAACACAGTGTGCCAGATACTGCATGAGATCCCTGGTAACATCATCACTTCGTTTACTCGATCGTGGAAAATTGTTTCTTGAGAGCCTCCCCGTGCAAGGGGAGAGAAAGGGAAGGGGTAAGTTGTAGTGAATGGAGGGGCAGCTTCTGGAGTTTGCGTGCCTTGGTTCCACGCCAGTTTGGCGTCACCTGCTCCAAGCCTCGGTTTCCTCTCTTAGAAAGAGAAACAACTTAGACTGTTTTCTTCGTGCGCGTTGTGACAATGAGATAAAATGGTGCGTTAATAGTGCTGAGCACGGTGTTTGGACAAACAGGTTGTTGCTATTGTCGGTGTTGTTTCATTATTCTCACTATAATTATTGTAATGTAGTGGGGCTAAGGAGCTGGGGGATTTGGGATTCGAGCCCATTCCTACCACTCACCAGGTGAATAGGAGACATTGAGAAATTCGCTTTCCTGTCTGGATATCAGTTTTCCTGCCTAAATACAAGAAGGTGCAGAAAATGTTATTCTCTGTAATTTTTCCTAAGAACACCGTGTTCATTTAGAAGAAACCTTCTGATAAGCTGTTGGAGGTGTCAGGTGAGCTCCTAAGGGCATACTCAGACAACAAAAGATGATTCTTAAACTGTCACATGTAGGACAAGTAAATGCATTTATTTGGCTCCTGAGGGAGAAAGAAGGGGAAAGGAAAGGCAGTGAGAAAGAGGAAGTGCAGCCAGTGGGAGGGCTGACACACGGCACTTCCATGGGCTCCTCAGGTTGTTGGTGAACTTGATTCATCTCATAAAGTACTTGGTGTGAGTGATTTCCTCATGGAAGGTGGTAAGGGGGAAAATTGGTCTGGATGACCCATGGGGATACAGGGGTAGGATAGCATTTTCCCATAGCCCCTCTGAAGATCATGTTTTGGACCAGAGGAAACCCCTGGGAGCCTGAGTGATACGTGTGATTAAATTGGCGTGAATGAGGGTGCATGCCTCCCCATCGACAGATACGCACAAATCCCCACCTAGACTTGGATGCAAGTTCATCTACACGCAGACGGCCATGCATGTGTGGTGCACACTTGCAGACGCACTGGGCTCGACGCCTATAGGTGCAATGTACGCATATGTGTGTGTGAGGTTGCACACGTTTGTGAATGTGTGCAGATTCCATGAATGTCTTTTTATGCGGGAGGGCTTATGTTTTTGTATGCGTGTGTATGTTTGTGTGCATATTCGTTATTCCCCACCCTGCATTTTCGGAAAGCTTCCCTGGGCTGAGAGCAAGGCTGAGGGTAAAGTCACAGGGACTCAGCAGGAAGGGATGAGAGATGCCCCAGAGGGTCCCAAATCCAGACATCTTCCTCCCCCAGTGAAGAATGGTATCCCCCATATACTCGAAAGGTGAAAGGATCGGCTCCCGCCCCCTCCCCGTCCACTGCGCGGCTGAGTCTCACTGTGCTCCCCTCCGAAAGCTGCGGTACAGACAGAGTGAGGCAGATCCCCTGGAGGCCAGAGACACAGAGGAAAGGCCTGTGTGGGGTGAAGAGGCAATTTGCAGGAATGCCCAAATGGGAAAGCAACTCTAAACAGAGCATTCTCTTAATAAACAAGAAATTAAGTCTTAATAATGCAGCAAGAAGCCCATTAACCCCTCTTGATCTAAGGCCTGCTTCTGCCAGTTTTCAGTCCAAAGGGAGCTGGGCCCGTTCTACCTTCTCTTGCGCGGGCTCCTTGGAGAGCCTGCGCTTGGAATATTTATTCCTGTAAATGTGCTCTAACTTCCAGCATATTCACGTATTTAATCATTTACCTCTCTGCCCGCCTATCTGTTCATCAATCCATTCAATCACCTATCCACCCATCCATTCATCCATCCACTTACCCCTCCCAGGATACCCGGACACCTGTTCTTTGTTGGGAACATTACAAAAGAATCCATAGAGTCCTCGTTCCACCAGGCCACCACCCACCGTCCTCGAATTCATTGTCTAATTGTATATAAGGTCATTTTTATGTCACATCTATCCAGGTCGCTGTGGAGTCCAAAGGACAGAAGATCATGTCCTCCTGCACAACCCGCGAGCCTTCATGGGAAGGTGCAAACATGAGTGTCTTACTCTGAACTCACGTTTAGGCTTGTGGAACCCAGAGGTTAATTTTGATAATGATGAGTCTTCTCATGGGGAGATTTCAGTCTAGTAGTTGAGGCAGAGACATCGCACAATAAATACTGTAGAATCCGATCCCTTCCATATATATTTATTCAGCCACAAGCACTCTGATCTTTGCTAAGCACATAATACTGGTCCACGTTGTGTTGGACAATGACAGTGAAATGATTGATGGCAGCCTCTTACAGACTCCCTGACCTCACAGTGATTCTCTTCTAACGAAGGAGATAGGCTATTAAGCAAGCGATCACCAGGAAATGTGTTAGGTGATATAAATAAAATAAAATAAAATAAAATAAAATAAAATAAAAGAGAAACAAAAGAGACAGGGAGCACATGGTTAGAGTTCTTGATCTCGTTTAAGTAAAGAGTGGGGGATTCGGGGAAGGCTTCCCAGAGGAGGTGTTGCCGTAGGTGACATCTGAGGGATGAGTAGAAGTTAGGCAGGAGGAAAAAAAAAGAACAGAAAAGAAAAGTCCCAACAATGAGAGAACAAGGCGCATTTGTGCAGGATAGGGCATCCCTAGAGAGTGGCAAGGAGGCAGCTGGAGAGACCAGAGGGTCATTCCACGTTCCCAACAGGGAGGCAGGCACCCTTCTTCCAGGCTGCATTCCACTGTCTGTATCCCTCTACCTTGCTGTCCGTCTGGTATATTGAAATGGTCCCCTTATGTCTCTGTCTCCCTGCACCAGCACTGACCAATTAGAAATAGAAGTGTGAGCCACATAAGCCATTTTAGATTTTTCTCACAACCACTTCTTTAAAAGTAAAAAGAGAAAGGGGAGAAATCATGTTAACAATATATTTTATTTAACGTGGCATATCCCAAATATTGTCATCTCCACGTGTAATCAATGGGATAAGCAATTCATGATGTATTTTGCATCGTTTTCTTACACTTTAAGATTTTGGGAATCTACCGTGGAGTTCACACCTACGGTGCATCTCAGTTTGGACTAGCCGCATTTCAAGGGCCCAAAAGCCACCCTGGTCTGGTGGCTCTTGTATTGGACAGCATACTTGTAGTCACTCAGTGACTCTAGAACGAGGACAATGTCTTATTTCTTTGTCACCCCAGTGCCTACCAAACTGCTCAATGCATGCGTGCTGAGCTAAACTGAATGGACATGATAGAGAGTGAAAGAGGGAAGGTGATGTGAGGACATCTCCCTTGGGGTCAGGGTGTAGTGGGAGAAGGTCACCAGAAAGGTGATGCCCCAGTGGGTTCTGAGGAATGTATAGGAGTATTCCAGGTCTCTCACCCCTGCAGGAGGGAGGGGTAAGAGAAAGTGACAAAAGCTGGAGAGGATTTCAACGGTCACATAGGGGAGGGACACAATGGCATTCTAAGCAGAGAGAAGCATTTGAGGAGAGGAAGTCGGCAGCAATAAATCATGGAGACGGAGGGAATGGTTTGACGGGTGCTCATAGAGGGAGACAGCGGTGAACAGACTGGAGGGTGCATGTGGAGAACCGTGGACAGCAATGGAACTCAGTTCTAGAAGCAGTCGTGGAGGGATCTGAGGCACAGGAATTAATCTGTGGGTCAGTACTGTGTGCCCTTCCTAGGATAATCACTGTCCTGAAAGCAACTTTGTTTCTTTTTTTTTTTTTTTTAACGTTTATTTATTTTTGAGACAGAGAGAGACAAAGCATGAATGGGGGAGGGTCAGAGAGAGGGAGACACAGAATCTGAAACGGGCTCCAGGCTCTGAGCGGTCAGCACAGAGCCCGACGCGGGGCTCGAACCCACGGACCGCGAGATCATGACCTGAGCCGACGTCGGCCGCTTAACCGACTGAGCCACCCAGGCGCCCCTGTTTGTTTCTCTTAAATTCAAAGAGCAATCAGCATCCTCAAGAAATTTCAGTTATCTTAGATATCAGACTTTTGTCCTCAGAAAGCATTGAGACTGTTGTTCTCATGCAATTGCATGAAAATGTATGAAAAAAAAAAGAAAAAAATATTTTTCAGTAATCAAGTAACGGTCATCAACACTCCCATGGTACTCACCGTGTGCCAGGCAGGGTGCAGGTACTTTATGCAGTTAGCTAATGTAATCCCACGATAACCCTATCCCCAGTTCTGCCCACGGAGGAATTAACGCCTAAGGACGGTAAGTAACTGCTCGTGCAAGTAGTTCAGTCCAGGAAGGTTTGCCCCTGGAGACTGCTTTTTACGACCACTCTACACGACTTTGCTTACTACCACGAACCAGACCCTGCTGGAAGGACCTTACAAGTATTCACTAATTTATGCTTCTTAATCACTCTATGGAGTAGGTGCCAGTCCTCCCCTAATTTTGTGAATGAGTAAGCTGAGAACAGAGACGTTAAGAAACATCCCCAAGTTCACCGTTCATAGGAGGTGAAACCAGACATCTAATGGTCAGATTGGTTTAGCAGGTGTTTCTGGATGCTTTTTTCCGAAGTTCTGATGAAACGTCTTACCGTCCAAGATAAAAGGCGCCCGAAGTTAGTGCTGTTAGTAATCTATGCACGTGTTACTATGGAAAACGTAATGGAATAAAATACATGAGTCTGTGCATTCATTTCTCGCTCTCTGTTTTTCCACCCCCACTCTCTCTTTCCTTCTCTCGAATTCCCCTCTCTGTGCCTGACATTCTTGCCGCCTTCCCTCCTCTCCGGAGGTAACCTCCTGTCCATTCCACTGACAGAAACACAGTGCCTGGCTTACGGAGGTAATGAGAATATTTATTGATGGAATTAAAAAAACACTGGTGCATTACCCGGTTACCCTCTACTATAAGCCCAGCCCAGGGCTTCTGTACAAGGGATAGGGCGCTGGTTAATATCGATGGTGTCTGACTTCACTGATCCGACGGTTTGTTTTTTTCCCTCTTTTAGGTGTGCGGTTTTCCCTGCCTTTAAACAATGTTTTATCTCTCTCTGTGTCTGTCTACCTCTTGGGCCATCCGTCTGTTCATCTGTCCATGTATCCATCTGTCTAGGAAGGGGCAGCAGCAGGAGAAAGAGAGAAAGGGAAGGAGGAAAGAAAGAGAGGGGAGTGAGTAGTAGAGGACCTGGGTGAGGAGGAGGAAAGGACCATCCAGGGCAAGCCCATCATTTTACAGAGGGAGAGTCTGAGCCTCGAGGAGAAGAGGAGATGATACCGGTGAGAAGTATGTGGTGGGTTGGTAGAGGTTGGACTTAACAGCTGAGGGTCTTTCCATGGTCCTTGTCCTGATAGAATTGGGTGCTTCCAGCCACCTCTGCACTGTTTCTCCTTCACTATGCTCTTGATTTTCAGAGGCAGAAGGGAATTTGGGCAAAATTAGTGGGAAGTCCAAGGCTCTTTTCAGCATCCAGGCCCCTGGGGGGGGGCTTTCCTCCCACCCCCAAAGCTTGATAAGCTCCCTCCCTGAACCTCTTTCCTTTTCCATGCAGGGGAGGAGGCCTTGACCATGTACATGGACAAAAGTCGCCTCGACAGGAAGTCAGGGAATGCCACTCAAAGTGTTGAAGCTCTGCACCAGCTGGCATCGTCCTACTTTGTGGACCGTGATGGCACCATGAGGAGGCTGCATGAGATCCAGATATCAACTGGAGCAATCAAGGTAGGCTTGAGGGCGGCTGGGCTGAAGGTTCTTAGACAGCCATACTGCAACGCGGGTGCTCTGATAGCAGGTGGGCAGATAGAGTCTCTGGCTTCAGCCATAGAGCGAACAGCGCCCCCTGCCGACCCCCCTGACTGACGCAGTCCAGTGCCTCGTAAGATCAGGAGCACTGTCTTTGGGGTGACCACGTGCACGGATTTACTGGGGCAGCTCTGGCTATGGTCATGGCATAATAATCAACAATCCTCTTCATTTGCTCTTAAAGTTCTCCCGTGTGGATGATTTTTAGACTCCCTTTCTAGGTGAAAAAACTGAAAGCTACAGTGGTTAAATGATTTTCACAGGGTCATAGAGCTAGCAGGAGGCAGCTTACAGATGCCTGATCAGTAATTCTTTCCATTTTTTTAAATATTTATTCATTTTTGAAAGAGAGAGAGAACAAGCATGGGTGGGGTGGAGAGAGGGGGAGACACAGAATCCGAAGCAGGTTCCAGGCTCTGAGCTGTCAGTACAGAGTCCGACACCGACCTTGAACTCACAAACTGCAAGGTCATGACCTGAGCCAAAGTTGGACGCTTAACCAACTGAGCCACCCAGGCGCCCCAGTAATTTAAACATTTGTGGTTTCCATTCCCTTACTCACCCCTCCCCATTTTACAGATGGGGAAACTGACGTCCAAGAGCTAAAGACTTTTTTTGTTTAGGGTTATACAGCTAGAATACCCTAACAAGGACTAAAATTCATCTCTGGACCAGGACTCAGCTATTTCTGTAAAGGCCGGGTAATAAAAATTTCAAGCTTTGCATGTCATATGGTCAGTGTTACTACAACCCAACTCTGCAGCTGTAACACAAAAATCAGCCATGGACAGTATGCAAACAAATGGGTGTGGCTGTGTTCCAATAAAGTTTTATTTACAAAAAAAGGACATCTGTCACGTGCTGACCCATACTCCCCTGCACCAGTGCTATTCAATATACCCTTCCAAGATCGTAGAAGTGCCCTATATCTATGGTCAAGACAGTAGCCATTAGTCACATATGTTATGGAGCCCTTGAAATGTGGCTACCAGGGAACTAAGTTTGTAAGTTTATTTCATTTAATTTGTGTGAATTTATTTATTTGTTTATTTATTTATTTTAACATTTATTTATTTTTGAGACAGAAAGAGACAGAGCATGAACGGGGGAGGGTCAGAGAGAGAGAGGGAGACACAGAATCTGAAACAGGCTCCAGGCTCTGAGCCATCAGCCCAGAGCCCGATGCGGGGCTCGAACTCACAGACCGCGAGATCATGACCCGAGCCGAAGTCGGACGCTTAACCGACTGAGCCACCCAGACGTCCCTAATTTGTGTTCATTTAAATAGCCACATTGACTAGAGTGGATCTAGACTTTCAATTCAGTGCCTTAAAGCACAGGAATTAAAAAAAAAAAAAAGATTCTATTTCAAATGCAATAAATTCAGGAATTGCCTTTATAAAGAGAATGGGGGGTGAATTTTGATGTAAAGGATTAGTTTTTCTCACGGTTTCAGTGCAGGTTTTTTGCATCTCACATTTTCTTAAACCAGATTATACCTGCATTCTACATCTCAATCTTCGATCCAATTTCTACAGACCAAGCCTTATATTAAGATTTTCAAAAATATCTCTGGGGAAAAAGTGTGTGGGTGGTGGTGGGGGCAGCAGGAGGCGGGAGGGGGTAAGGGGGAAGGCATTGAGGGAGACTCGGGCAGTGGAGTTAGAAATTGACCAAGCCAACAGAAAAATGAGGGAGGGTGTTCCTAGGAGGGAGGTAGGCAAGAGAGAAATAAATCAGATCGACAAACAAAGAGCCAGCTTATCCCAGAAGAATCGCCTCCATTGGGGGGATTATGTCGTTAGGGAGCTCGGCACAGAAAGACAGATCTTTATGAAGCCATCAGAGTCAGAGTGAAGCAAGAGCCTGGTTTTCATTATCACCGAATGGTTCTCTCCCCCCCTGGATGGGATGTGGAATTGAGATGTGGAGGCTCTGTCGAAAGATAATCTTCTTTTGTGCACCCTGGAAATGCAGCCTCCCTCCTTACAAGGAATTTCTCAGAGAAATTGCCCAGAGGCCACTCAAGGAGCCATTCTTATAGAACCACTGTCTTCCACACTCAGTCTGGGACTTGGCTGCTTCGCTTGCCATTTCTCATGCTACCTCAAGACCAGCTGGCTAGAATCGCCAGCTTTGTTTAAGACTAGCAGCTGACCCAGGTGAGGAAGTTCGGCTGGTAGCTTTTTTGCCCAGGGCATCCTTAGCAGAACGAACTGGTCGTCTTGAGCCTCAACTGATAACAACTGTGTTATTATTTTGTACACACACACACACACAAAGAGAATAAATGGTTTAAAAAACATGACTCACAGACCCTCCATTTATATAGTTTCCTAAGTGCTAAAGGCTTCAAAAATATGATCTCTTTTACCTGTTGAGGTGGGTAAAAGTATTGCTACCATTTTATAGATGGGACCTTGAGGCTGGGAAAGGGAAGGTTTTGCAGCTGGGGGAAGGCGTGGCTGGCGTTTGGAGAGTCACGTGGCCGTGTCACAGGTCACACCATTCCTGACAAGTGAGGCTGTGTCTTTACTGGATGCAAACCTCAAAACTCGCCCATAAATGATCTTGTGAAATTATGGGAAGTTAAGGCTAAAGGGATGAGAAGCCTCTTTTCATCCTAAGTCATGCTTACTTCAAGTTTATAAAACATCTTCTAGAAAACAGGGATAATTTTATCGTTCTTGCCTAATAGTGTGTATGTACTCATCACAGATTATAGAGATCTAGGGTAATACGATGCCCATTTTTTAACATGTGCGAAGCGTCAGGCACTCAAACCCGTCGTGTCTTGTCTCACATCCTTCCTGGAAAGGACTTACTAGCTTCAGGTCGCAGAAACTTAGAGAAGGTAAGTGACTTCCTTAGGTCATACAGCAAATTCATGGCCCCGTTACGATTTCATGCTGGTTCTCCTGATTCTGAAGCACGTGCTTTTGAAATATACTATTGTGCTTCAACGTATTAATTCATATAATACGTAGAGTGACCTTGTGAAGCAAGAGCCAGGGAATGGGTCCTGTCTGTGTGCTCGATTGCTCTGCTATCCTGATGCCTGTTGGTGATAGCCCAAGTGTGGTCCTTGCCACAGGCGAGGTGCCCAGGAAGTGGCCATTGGCTCAGGCCAGGAGACTTTCTCTGCCGGCTTTGCTCTGCTGAGGGCTGACTCTGCGGGGCCCTGTCTCACAAGTCTCTGACAAGGGCACCTGTCTCACCCCTGTCACCCTTGATGTGCACTCCAGGTCACAGAGACACGCACTGGGCCTCTGGGCTGTAACAGCTATGACAATCTGGACTCTGTGAGTTCCGTCCTTCTGCAAAGCACGGAGAGCAAACTGCACCTTCAAGGTAGGATGCCCGTGGGAATCGGAGACCAGAGAGGGGGAGGGGGGGAGCCTTGGGATTTTGAGGAGGCATGATGTGGAGGCAGAATAAAGACAAAGATGCAAGATGGAGAAACCAAGGAAGACTACAAATATGGAACTTAGGACAGTTAGGACATGATGCCTTTTAAAAATGTTAACATATACAGGACATTAAATTCATGGTTATTAATTAGTTTTCAGATACAAAGTTTTAAAATGGGAGCTTTATCTGATTATTTCGATGAAAATGTCTAAACAGTGTTATTTATAGATGCTCCAGACCTAATATATATTAAAGTTTCATATCTTGCTGTCTGAATTTCCTAGATTATTGTGTTTGATTTTCAATGTATTTTGGCAGGTGTTATTTGAATTCCAAGAGCTATAGAGCATTTTATAGAATTTTTGGTTCTACGTAATCTTCTTTCTCCTTATTCATTCGTCGTCTGTAGTCTTTAATATATGTATACACACATACATATGTGTTTGTGTATGTGTGTGTGTGTGTGTGTGTGTGTGTGTGCTTTCAGCAGAGTTTATAAATGAGAGCACTCAATGCTGACAGGGTGTTCAGAGACAGACACTCAGGCACTGCTAGTTAAGAATGCAACAATTAAGGGGCGCCTGGGTGGCTCAGTCGGTTGAGCGTCCGACTTCAGCTCAGGTCACGATCTCGCGGTCCGTGAGCTCGGGCTCCGCATCGGGCTCTGGGCTGATGGCTCAGAGCCTGGAGCCTGCTTCCGATTCTGTGTCTCCCTCTCTCTCTGCCCCTGCCCCATTCATGCTCTGTCTCTCTCTGTCTCAAAAATAAATAAAACATTAAAAAAAAAATTAAAAAAAAAAGAATGCAACAATTATGGGATTACTTCGCTGATATCTTTCAACATGTGTATTTGTTTAGTGTCTGTTTTATGTCAGGTCTATGTTAGGGGCTCCAGATATACTTATGACCTTAAGGAAAATATACCCTTTAAAATCGTAATTTTACCCTTGTTAATTCATCATGAACAGGTGAGGACATTATAAGGAAAAATTACAAGGCTTTGAGTACAGATAGTGCTGTTTTAAAAAGCATAATTTATAATGGAAAAAAAAAAGTAAAAATCTCAATTTTCCACATGAGAGGACTAGGCAAATTATGTAGTATCCACACAACATAATATTAGGCAGGTACTAAAATGTTATTTATGAGAATTTCCAAGAATGTATGAAAGCGATCTGATATAGTGTTAATTTAAAAATGGGTAGTGTCTGACTGAATGTGTGGCATGATCTTAACAATGCGAAAGGGTAAGGAAAAATAATATTGCAAGGGAATATGCCAAGATGTTAAAAGAGGTTACCTCTGGATGGTTAGGTTGCAGATGATTTATTTTAGGCTTCCCAGTTCTTTTTCTAACTTTTCCACAACGATCACGTATTAACTTTATAGTTAGGGGAAAAAAAATGGCATGCTTTAACTTTGAGCAGACTAAAAATGTGACCTTCTAGAAAGGTGTCTGATAAAGGTGACTCTGAATGTCAGTGGGAGGAAAGCAGAGCTGAGATTTGCAGGTGGAGCTAAGCAGAGCCTAATATGACTTTTATATTCCAGTTCCTTGGCAATCCTTTGATTCATGCTCCTGTTACAGAAGATGGTTGGAAGATGGCACAGGGAGGGCTTGGTAGAGTCACTTGGGAGCACTGAATGGAAAACCCCTCCGGGAATTGCAGGCCAAGAAAGTGGTTTAGTGTTAAAAGAAAACACAACAAAACCAAACCTCAGACACACAGAGAATAACCCTACCTCCTTTAGTAGAGAAAAGAGTGGATGAGTAGGTTTGGTAATAACCTGATAAGAAAGTACATAAGACAGATCTGCCTTGGGCGTGCCCAGATGATCAACTTATTAAAGTTCCTGTGATACCTCCTGGTGACCTTGTGAAGTGAGAGAAGTGTTGGAGTCCAGGAAGCTTGGCTCCAGCCTGCATTTGATAACCCTGCTGTGCATGTTGGCAGTGGAGAGACCTGTGAGTTATAATTGGAGTAAATTTAGAAGGGATTAACAAGATGTTAGTTACCAGGAAGGTATTAAGATCTTAGGGCCAGTAAGAGGCTGATTTCCCATGAAGCTAATGAAGCTTAAGGTCCAGGGCTCCCTCACCATGTAGGTCCCCGAATTTTCTCATTCTAAATACTGACTTTCACACCTCATGTTGAATTCCTTTTCTCAACGAGCAGTTATGGTATAAGCTTCAGTCCTCCAAAATGCAGGTCTACCATTGGTTACATGATTATAAGTACATTATCCACCAAAAAGGAGGTGACATCCTTGTCTTATTCTAGATTGGTCAGAACACATCTGGAAGGTTAGGGCCAGGTCTGGGCATCACACTTCAAGAGGGACACTAAGAAACTACAGTGTTCCTAAAGAACGGTGTCTTATGAGGAACAGCTGAAGAGAGTTGACTTGGGGCAAAAGGACTGTCTACAGATACCTAAAGGGCTGTCTTACAGAAAAGCTAGTCAAATTCATTAATGTGGATAAAATGAGCCTAGACCTGATGCACTTGCAGAAGACAATAAAGATCCCAGCTTTCTTTTAAGAATCTGTGTTGGGTCAAAGTGGGCATCAGGATGTAGTGGGAAACAGTTTGTGTCCCAAGGAAATATATACCCTATCAGAGAAGATGGGCTTAAACAAACAAAAAGATGCATAAGGAATTGTAGTGGAGAAAAATAGGAGGGCTTCATGGTACCAAATGGTATGGGGACTTAACCTATCAGGGGATCAGAGAAGATGGATAGGATAGGACCTGGAGGATGACGAAGAGGTCAGGGTCATGGATATGGAGGCAGACAATGAGTATCTATGAAGGAGCATTTGAGGAAATGAAAATGTCATAAGAGATTAAAGCAGAGACATCAGTGGTGAGAAAGATGAAATAATCCTTTGGATCCTGGAAGGCCTGTGCAGCACATTAATGACTCGAACATTAATTTGAGGGTCATGGGCACCATGGAAAGGTTTTTAAAAAGGAAGTAGCATAAGGAGATTGATGTTTTGGAAGATCACTCTGGCTGCCATGTGTCCAATTAATTAGATCGGGGTAGATTGGGGGTGGATGACCCATTAGGGGCTATTGCAGTACTGAAGATGAGAGGTCACAGATTCAGACCATGAAGGTAGCAATTGAGGTTGAAAAAAACAGACCACTTTTAGAGTTACTTAGCTGGCGTCAACCACTTTTAGAGTTATTTAGCTGGCATCATGACCAGAATTAATGAGACGACCATGAAGAATTTAGATAATCTGGTGAATAGAGTATGGGGATGAGATAGAGAGGAAGGGCAGGGAAATACATAAGATTCAAGGCAATATATAATATAATAGAGATAATGAAAGTAATGCATACCATTATGGAGATTCAGAAAAGGGAGTAATTCATTTGGCCTGTCTAGGTAGAGGAGTCATAAGAAAAAAATATCTAAGGAAGAATATTATTCTCTTGGTGGAAGGTAAAACAAAAAAACTTCTTCAATATAAGACAGAAGACTGTCTCATGATTCTTGGATAGGCTGATATTTATTCAGTAGGATACAACAAGCAGTAGGTATAAAGAAAAGGATTTATACATTGAACCACATTAAAATTAAGAATTTCCAGGGGCACCTGGTGGCTCAGTCAGTTGAGCATCCAACTCTCGATTTTAGCTCAGGTCATGATTCCAGGATCATGAGATCAAGCCCTGCATCAGGCTCCATGCTTAGCATGGAGCCTGCTTAAGATTCTCTCTCTGTCTCTCTCTCCTCTCTCCTCTCTCCTCTCTCTCCTCCTCTGCCCCATCCCCCACTCTCTCCCTCTCTCTCAATTAAAAAAAAAAGAATTTCTGTTCATCAGATGCTGCTATTGATAGAATGAAAATACAAGCTGCAGAGTAGAAGGAAAGATTTTTGATACATGAATCTGACAAAAAAAAAAAAAAAAAACCAAAAAACAAAAAACCCTGTGCAAAATATATCAGTAACTCCTAAAAACAACAAGAAAAAGGCAGACTGTCCAGTAAGACAAGAAAATGGGTAAAAGACATGAACAGGCACTTCACAAACAAGAATATCAACATGGCAGATAAACATTTGAAAAGGTGATTAACTTTTCTAGCCCTCATAAAATGTAAATTAAAGCCACAATTTAGTATGCTAACCCCACAATCTGTCTGGTTCAAAGGAAAAACACTGACAACATCAAGGAGTGACGATGTGGAACAATGGAAACTTACATGGAAACTTACTATAACATCTCCTGCATTGCTTGTGGGAGAATAAATCAGTACAACCACTTTGGAAAACTCTTTTGGCAGTATCTACAAAAAAACTCAGTATGTCCTGGCCCTGTGACCCAGAAATTATAATTCTTGGGAGTATGCACAACAGAAATGCCATCTATGTTCACCAAAGGACATGGCTGTTTATAGCAGCTTTATTCAAAATAGCCTACAAATGGAAATAGCCCCAATTGCCCATCAACAAGAAAATGGATAAATACATTGTCATGCATTCATATGACAGGCTACAATGCAGAAATGGGGGAAAATAAACTATTCTTTTCTGCAACAGTATGGAAGAATCTCATGAACATAACATTAAGTAAAAGAAGCTGGACGCAAAAGAATATGCGCTATTTGATTCCATTTCTATACGGGTCAAAAACAGCCAAAAAAAAAAAAAAATGTGTTGCTTTTGTAGCTCAGAGAGCATTAACCTTCGGGGAGGGAGAACAAGGGACTGACAGGAGATGGGAGAGGTTTCTGGAGGTATCTATGATGTTCTGTTTCTTGATCTGGATGGGAGCACATGGGTGTGTTTACTTTGTGAAAATTCATAGCACTGTACGCACGTGATTTATATGTATACATTTCTGTGTGTATAATGTGCATCTATGAAAAATTTATTTAATAATGTGCTCCATCTTGACATCGTCTGCAAAGAGAAGACATGAATAAA